GGAAATAAAGATCTATCCGAGTTGAATGTATATCAAGAACAAATTGAATCAATACCCACAGAAACAAAATACATGAAGAACATCAAAGGAGAAGCACTACATTCAACATTATCATCATTTTCATGGAAGAGAAACGAAAGTGGGAATGAAGGATGAAGAGATCTTACAGAGTGTGCAATATTTGATTCCTTCAAAAACGAAAAGCAGCGATTACAGAGGATCGGAGGAGGGAGAAGCTATTCTATATGCTGAGGAGTGCTCTGAAGATTTGAAGCTAATATTTTGTGGACGTGGAGATTTTCCAGGCTTTACACGTGGATAAACTCCACGTGGGTTGGGTGTTTTAGTTGCACGTGTCCGACTTTTGCGTCGTGTTTTTTGCGCAACTTTCGAGTTAAGCGGTTCCTGATTGCCATTTACTGATTTACTTGGGGAAAGTGAAAGGAACAAGGTGGCCCAATCTATGGCGCAAGAATGGCCCAATCTATGCTCAAACTCAGGGATTCAACCCAGCTCATCTTAAAATGCGATTTGAATTGGGCCTATCTATTTTATAAGATTTTGCAATTTTTATCACTTTATTTATCCTGTAAGATGAAAAATTGTAACATATTAATTTTTAGACGAGGAGATAGGTTTTTTGATACTAAATCCTCTTCCAAGGTCCTTATTTTATAATATGAACTATTTGCCTTTTTTCCTCCAAATGTTTTTATTTTACAATTCAAAACATTTTGCACTATAAAATAACAGATTTTAGATAAAATTATATTTTAATTTCAAATATTAAATTTATAAATCAGTTCATATTATTTTGTAAATTAAGTTTCAAGTCTTGAAATTAATATTTAAAAATTTTAATTTTTTTATATATACCATATCAAAGATATGTTTTTAAAATCATTTAAGCAGAGATTAATCTCAGGTTTCAAAGATGTATAAACTATGAAAGTTAACTTCACTATACATTAATAGTAAAACCCAAAAGGAAAAAAAAGGGTAAAATTATATTTTAAGACATTGAAATTTGTTTAATTATTCAAATATATAAAGTATTTATTAAAAATTTATTAAGAAAAGGCCAAGCATTGATCAACTTGCTGCAACCCAATAACATTAGATTTTAAGTTAATATCGTTTATTTTTTTGTGGGTTGCATATTTGAACTTCACGAAACCTTTTTCTTAATCTCATTTTTTCAATTAATATGTAAATAATTACAATTTATTTTGTGGGTTGGGTATTTGAACCCTATGGAACCTTTTTCTTCATTTCTCCAATTAATATATAAATAATTACCATCTTTAAAAAAAGAAAGGAAAGATAAGGCCACAGCATCAGTTTGGCAGCCTGGATTGCCTGGTTTATTCAATGCCTCTGGCGAACGAAACTGACCCTGCATATTAAAAGCAATCCATAAAAAGGTAAATTAGGAAAATTAAGAGAAAAATCTACATTTTCCAACTCTAGAACCCCAATCGAACCAACATGATTATACAGTTACAAAACGTTCCTTGCAATTAATTACTAACAAAGTAATTATCATAGTCAATACTGCCTTTGGTGTGCTGATTAAAAAAATACTGCCCTTCGTGTGGTTGAAAGGATCACAGGTTGAGGTTAACAAGATCTAGATTTTTCCTCATTTCTTTAAATTCTTTATTGTAATTTACTTTGATAGTTTCATATATAGTACAAACTTAATATAATCCATAGAGAAAGCAAAAATTTTTAAAGTTATAATATTAAAAACATCAACACACCCAATTTTCGAGATAAATATGATATACTATAAATTCTAACTAAATCTCATCTATTAAATATGCAATTAGGATCAAAATGATTTAATTTTTATTTTTCTGTAATTTATTATGTGTACTTGACAATAAAAAAAGAAAAAGAATTATTCTAAAAATATACACATCAAATTACATCATGTAAATCATCTTTTATTTGCTCTATTTAAACATTTTACCATATATGGTTAATCAAAAACGGTTGGAATCCTTTCACGTACATTCATGATTTTTTTTTTTTTAACCACCAGAAACATTTCACATTCATGAATTAATTTATATGAATTAAA